TGTTTTCTTGTCTTTTACACCAGAACACCAAACCCCATAGTTTTGGATACCCTCACAGTACTGTGTGGTATGCTTCCCCCCCCCGTTTTCCGTCACAGCGCGCGAGCGTCCGGCGGCCAGTCGCACGCCTGGACTCCCCGCCCTCGGCCTTCGGTGCGGCGCGCGCCGGCAGCTCTTTGCCCGCCCGGGCCTCCGGGCCTCCGGGCCTCCGGGCAGGGAGCGGTTGGCGAGGGTTTTCTTTGGCGCATCTTGGATGTTAGGACTTTGACTTTTTGCATTCCGCTAATGATTGGGTTTTCCATTCCGCTAAAAGTTAAACTTTTTGCAGGGGAGCAGAAAGCAACCGAGTTTTTACGATGATTTCCTGGACCTTCAAACGTGCCTGAAACTGTGTGTTCGAGCAGAACAAAAGCGAGCAAAACAAAGTATCAATGGAAGGCCCAGGATCTGGCTTCAGGGCCCTGGTCTAGCACCCAGCTTGGTGGCAACCGTTCAAGGGTCCATTTTGTTTTTCTGCCGGGCAGCTGAGTTGGGTCGGGTCGACAGTCGGTACCATCTTACATGTATGCCCTGAAAGCAAATGACAATAGAAACACATTTCATCCTAGTTTTTACGATTCAAAGCCACGGTTTTGGGGGGCCTCAACTCAGCTCTCCTGGGGCAGGTTGGGACTGAGCTTGCCCATGCAGCAGGATTCTTTTTTGGGCATCCGTTGACTAAAGCCGATTGCGGTGTCCTTTGCAAGCGAGAGTATGTATACTTCCTGATGATGTTGCTTATCACTGCAGCAAGCAAACAAAGAAAGCAACGTCATATTTTGAAGTTGAAGGACACGGAAACAATGAATCAGGCGCTCAAGCACCAGGAAGCAACCATTCTGAAGTCAAATGAGAAACACGAAGAAGGAAGAAGCCGCCCTAAGCAATTCTGAGACAGCAGGGCAACTCCTTCGTGGTGGCTTGCCTGGGATGCATTGACCATGGGAATTGCAGCCAGCCTGAGGTCTTGGACTTTGCATCCTTCGAGCCAACCTCACTGCTGAGAGGTCTGGGCTTTGCGTCGTGGACGAGGTACTCGGTTTATTCATTTAGTTCCGAAACAGAAACAATCAGAGGATAATGCTTGCTTTAGCTCCAAATGGTTGGATTTGTGTGTTTCTCAGTTGCGAGCTGTCTCCATGTAGTGAGTCGTTGGATCAGTTTTGGGATGATGCTCCCGTTCGTGAGACACTTGAATGCGAGCTGATGGATCCTGGCTTAGCATAAGTCCAAAGGTGATAGGGGCCTGCTAGATTCACTACTGTCCTGGTGAGCCCCCAAGCGGCAATCAGAGCCTTTGCAAGGGTTCACCTTCAAAATGGCCACACCTCATCGAGGTTTTCCTGAGCAACCCCAGACAAGCTTACTACTTGCAAGAGAGACACCCAAGTTGGGTTCCTAGAGTTTGGATCTGTTTTTTTGTTTTGCCCTTCGGATAGTGCCTAAAGGCAAACCACAGACAGCCCGTTGCCATACTTAGAGGTCCAATTCCTGTTTTGGACACTCCCACAACCTCAAGCAGAGATCGCATAAGGCTACACACTCGGGGCGCATAGGGGCACAAGCCATGCCTGCAGAATACACAATATTTGTCTCTTTCTTTGGCGAGACATCCCTGGACGTGTTTGTGTTTTCGCTATTCATGCCCTTGGTTGGGGTCTCCTCCAATACGCATACTTTGGAGGTTAGCTAAATGTGAAGCTTTTGGGATTTGTCCAACTTGAATCCATACTCTTGCTGCTTGAGGAATCACCTTGGTTTTACGAAGGAATCATACTGGGATTTGCCGGAAAACCAACAGATAGCTGAGTTATCTCCAGTAGGATGGTCCAGTGGGTCAACTCATTCACAGTTTGTCGAAGCAAGTCGTCCAAGAAAGGTCTTGACTGGTATTGGATGGGAAGCATCCAAGTTGGGCGTTCCCTTAGAAACTAGCCACAAAATTGGGGGCGGGGGGGGGGCGTTGGGGTTCATAGGGGGTGGTTTCCCTGCTCCTATCCGAGCAAGCCTTTGGATCACCAGGCTCTGCTCGCTTCGGCTCCAGCGCGCCGGTCCCCGGCCCGGCACCTACAGACGGGCTGAGGGGTCGTGGGGGTCCCTGGGCTTTTCGGCTTTCGCCTGTTCACTGCCCCAATTTGTTTTGACGTTGGGAAAACTCAGGCAACCTCAAGAGTGGCGTTCTTGTGATTTCTCGTGTTTTCCCTTATTGCTTTCAGTGAGTTTTCGATCGAGCTCAGGGCTCGCCCAGGTGCACAGAAAGGACCCGATCTTCCAGAGCCGCTTTTTCCTGTTTTCGCTTGTCAGTAGGATCCTTTCTGGTTTGAGTGAAGGCCCTAGGAAAAACAGACACCCAGATCTCCCTTGCTCGCAGGTGCTGCCCACCTGGAGCCCCTCCTGTCACTTCAGGCGGATGTGTTGCGTGTCGTTGTCGACGACGACGACAAGGAGGATTGTGATGGTGGTGATGATGATGATGATGATGAAGATGAAGATGATGATGATGATGATGATGATGATGATGATGATGATGATGATGAAGATGATGAGGACGACGATGTCGATAACGGGCGCGTGATGAGGCGCTGATGGGGTTGTTAGTGCTGATGGCAATTGTTATGAATGTGGCGATGGAGATGGTTCTCATGAGGATTGTGATGTTGCGACTGGACGGTTGATACCGATGTTAAAGATGTGAAACTATGATAATTGCGATTACGAGGCAAATGCTGGTGATGACTCTTTTTGGATGATGGCGCGGAGGAGAAGCAGGAAGAGGAGGAGGTCCATGGTAGCACGATTGGCATGCTTGGCAAGCCCCAAAGTGTCTTGTTTGACTTAGTGCGGTGTTAAGAAGACTTTGGCTGGTGCGCGCGATGCTGCCTCGACAGGGCCTTGAGAGCTTGCCAATCATACGCAGAGTGAAGATTGTGGCGCCTGATATTGTGAGCACTAGTTGGTTTCAGATAGTTTGAGCTGAATTCCTTTGATCTTCTGGTGTGTGTTTTTTGGCTTTAACATGATCCGACCTTCCACTCGGATTCCCCCTCCCCATTGCAGAATGATGGTATTCGCACACCGGCCACCTCACCATTGAACACAGGACGCGCAGACACTTCGGCATTTGAGGAAGCTTACATCGGATTCTGCAGGTTATTGATTGGGCTGTGCGCTAGACACGGATTGCGGATTTTGGGTTGCATGGGGCATAAGGTTTCAAATCACACTTTGCAGCGCAGATTGCGTATTAAGAAGATTCCCAACCGGAACCAGGACTACGCGGATTACGGGTTGTGATTAGGCAAGAATGGGTTGGGAAGAGGCTAGTATTGTTTACAGAGGTCAGAGTGAAATCTGGCAGACAACCCAACCCCAAACTCTATCATGAAATCATAGAGACACTTTTGACGGTTGCACCCACTTCTTAGCCAATTAGGGAAGGTTCCTGGAGGGTTCCAGGCACTTTCCGGTGTTGGATTTTCGCCGTTCCCTGACTTGTTTTGTAAGGGTTATGGTTTTCCTCTTAAAGCTATGCACCGCTTAAAAGGTTCCTTCAAAGGCAGATGCAAAGCAAGAGCCAACTCCGCCAGGGGCTTTCACGTCTCGAGCTCCTGCTGGCCGTTGGGTTGCCCAGACCTGGGGTTCGGTTCCCTTCGGAGCGTTTGGCCGGTGCCAGTGCTGTCCTCGTCGCAGCCTTGTTTTTGGTATGGGGTGTATCACATCATCCTGGCTTGAAGAGCATAAGTATTAGGATATAAATAGATAACCGTATATCTATGTAAACCAAGTACCGCAAAGGTGCAATCATTTTTCCTGGAAGTCCAGTGGAGGTCTGGGGTATGGCTGGGTGTTTCTCAAGAGCGGACCCCACGAAGCGGTGAGTTTTCTTTGAGTTTCTATTTGGAACCATGGACTCCCGGCACAAGGGATTTGTCACTGACACTCCATGTGTTCCCAACCGATGCTCTCAGGCTTGCTTTGGGTTCCCTTTCAATCCATTCCAACAAGGTGTTTCCCAGTTTGGACACAGCCGTTTGTTTTTCCTGTAGCAAAGGTGGGTTCCATAAAGCCTCAATGCCAGGACACACCTCTGTGTCTTATGGCAGTGGTTTCCCTGCCAGTATGTTTCTGGCCAGGGCCGGGGTCAGAAAACTAACGCTGGCCTTCCGTGAAATCAGCCGAGTCGCCGAATAGCGAATCGGCGCGTGTCTTGGCTCCATTTGGGAGGGACATTGGGGAGGCATGTGTTATTGCGTTTGTCGTTGCTTGCGCACATGCCGAGGGTATCCCTTTTGTTTTGGAGGGGGCCTTTTTTTGGATGCTTTCAAAAGCAAATCCCAAAAACATATCCATCACTCTTTAGGTCTAAAACTGCTGAGGCTTTTCTCGAATTGCATTGGGTGGGAGACCAAAATAACATCCCTGGACATTCCTTTGTGTATTTTTTTCCGGGTGTTTCACAATTTAAGGCGTTTTGAGCGATTTAGGTGTTTTGCGTGGATGTGCTTGTGTGCGTTTTTTGCGGGCGCTGTGCGGCTTTTGGCGGGCGTTGTGCGTCCATTTGCGGGCGTTCTTCCTTAGGCGTGTGCGGGAACTTGTGGGCGTTTGTGTTGGAAAATGAGGCACAAGCAGAAGCTACAAGAAACGTGGTCGCTGCATTCCGATGGCCCCAAACGCTGGCGGAAGTGTAGGAGTCGCAGAACCATTGTCCAACGGAAGTTTCTGTGGACAGTGTGATCAAGCCCGCTCTCTCTGAGGGCAGTGAATGTCAGGACGAGCTAAACGAACAGACCGTTGATTCATACAGTTGAGTCAAGCAGCGTGCAGAAGATTGAGCCGACAAACATGATAACATGTCCAAGACTGTCAGAGCATTGAACTGAACCCATGAGCCACGTGTGATTTAATGCGACAAAAATCCATCGCACTCCCAATGATTGCAGGCCGCAATCAAGTCTTGTGTCATGGCAGTGAAATTGGAGCACCTAGGTTTGGTCCAGCACCAGGCCAGCATCATGAAGCAGTTGCGTGACCTCTGGCACGACGGGCGATTTTGTGACCTTGCACTGCGGAGCCGTCATGGCATTGAGCACCGCGCCCACGCAGCCGTGCTATTTGTGACCAGCAAGTTTTTCAAAACTTTGCTCAGTGGATCATTTTTGGAGAGTGAACAGGTGCAACAAGGCCGGGCAGTCGAAATCGCAGCTTCCGATGCAGCGGTGGCTGCCTTGCTTGATTATGTCTGTGGCGGTCAGCCTGCGGTGTCGGTCGAGGACTCCAGTGAGCTCCTGCAAATAGCAGATGCTTGTGGGTTGTCAAAGTTAGCCGAGTCTACTGAGAAGGGACTCCGTGCATCTCTGAACATAGCGCCTGTGGCCACTGCACTGAAAGTCTTGCTCGAAACTCAAGGGTTGTATGAGTTGAAGGCGATTTGTGAGGAGAAAATCGCTGCGAACTTTGAGGCGTCCAGCAGGAAGAGTTTCTCATGCTCAGCGTTGGCCAACTTGGACGAATTCTGCAAAGAGACGACTTGCACGTGTCTCGCGAGGAGGTGATTTTAGAGGCCATCTTCAAGTTGTTCAATCGCTCCAAAGAGCACGTTGGTGTACTGGCTTTGCTGCTGCGAGATGTGGATTTCCAGTCAATGTCATCTGACAATTTGGGCCGAACAAGCCACTTTGCTTCTTCTCTCGGTGGAGATGAGATGAACCGGAAAGTTGATGAAGCTTTGCACACCCGCAGGAAACGAATCATAGCGAAAACTTCCGACACTTTCCGGCCCAAGAGACGTTGTTTGCAGAGCTGGTCACCTCATTTAGGTGCCAGTCTCAAGGCGAAAAGTGTTGCTGGAAAGACTGTGCCTTTCATTATGCTGGCACGAGGGTGCCTTGTACGCCACGGATTGCAACGGTAGTTCCAGCTGTAGCGTCCTTTGCTTGAAGTCTGGTGATGAAGGACCTCGAATTGACGCAGGAAATGGTGCCAGAGCTTCTGGAACCAACGATTTGGGGTTTAGCTGCCAAATGTCCATCTCCCCTTCAGGCGAGATATTCGTGGCTTGTTTGCAAAGCAGAAGATTGGTCAGCTTCAAGAATGGTCATGGAACGGTGGTATGTGAAGATGTTAAAGGGTTGAACAACGTGTTCTGCGCGCAAAACTGTGTGATTTACCTTCTGACTCATGGTGGACGAGCGGTGCAGATGCTGAATGGCTCAAACCTCCAAGCTGTGATTCACAGTGATGATCTTGCAGGTGAGCTGCAGTTTGAGGCGCTTCACATCTTTGTGACCAAGGAAGAGGTACTTTATATCAGCGACCGTCACAACAATCGCATTCTTTGCCTCAGCCCGGGTGAGTCGCAATCTGTCATAGCGTGGGAGGTCCCAGAGAAGCAAGTGTGGGGGCTGTTCGTGGCAGAAGGTGGAAAGATCTACGTTGCGGGGGCATCAAGGAAGGTGTGGTGCTTCAATCCAGGCGACAGAACCTGCCACGAAGTGCTCCAGTGTCTCGACGGAGAGAAGGTCATTTCTGTGCTGCCTTACGGCCGATCCCTCTACGTAAGCACCCAAATTAGCAAGGCCCGCGGGGCTGTCTACGAGTATTTGTTACCTCCGGAGCTGCAGCTCGAGGTCAGAAACCCCTCATTCAGATGAGATTTCTGAATTGACAGGCTGAGATCGCAACTGACAGTGTTGGATTTCAACACCGCGGAGCTTAGTCCCAGTCATCGCCTGGCTTGTCGAAAAGACACGAGACCGGAAGCGGCTGGGTGGCTGAGATGTGCATGTGGGCGGAAAGGTGATGTCTGAAGAAACTTGGAATGCTACTATTTCCTTATTTCTTGAGTGTGTATGTTTGTGTGTGTGTGTGTGTGCCGAAATGCCCCACCAAGCCAGCCTGCGAGGGCTCTTGCAAAGAAGTCTGTCACACCTTTGCGTTTGATTCGGGCCCAGCTCTGCTTATTCCAACTCAGCATCTAGCAATTGCCACAGCAATTGCCAATCGCCCAGCTTTCTTTCCCGATGTTAACCGTTAACTTGAAACTCATCCATGTTGGATGGATGATCCGACATGGATGACCGTAATTCTGAAGGTGTGTCTTTTTTGAGGGTACCCTTCTCAGGTTGGCTGGACGGGGTTGGCTGTCAAATGGGTGGTGGTCATTGATCCCGACTCTGAACCCCGCTGAAGGCTGCGCAGAACTTGACCAGGGTCCCAGACATGCGGAGGCGGTGTTCATCCTTTGAGAAGGCTTGAAAAAGGAAATCCGGAAGCAAACTCGTGCCAATTTGCAGGATGAGCAGGTGTTTTCTTGACATCAACCAGCAAGATTGCTGGTTGCTGGTTTTATATTGGGGTCGACAAGGACTTTATTTGCAAGGGACCTCCGCTAACCCTGCCAATAGCCAAATTACTGCGAGGTGAAAGCTGTTCGAGGCCTTGCTTCTTACTGCAGAGGTCCGCCCCTACCCCAGAAAGCAAAATTGCTTCGGTTTGGACTCAGTCCATAAAAGTGATATCTGCCAAATGACCCTCTCAATGGCGGTTTCGCCTTGGTTCCCTCAAAACTTTCGTGGATGTTGAAGCACAGGGAGCAAGGTCCCCAAAAGTAAAATTTCGAGAACCTCTCAACATGCGACCCTGTGACTCGCTCCAGGTGCCTGGGAGTTACCTCTTGGTTCCCCCCCCCCCCCCCAGGGACAAATTGACAACCACACGAAATGCCATCGCTACTTGGCTGCCTCAGTGAGGCTATAAACGGGGTTTGTAAATCTCATGACTTGTTGAGAGCGAGGCCAAGTAATGGACGTACGTCGAATCGTCGAAGGTCTTGGACTCTGCGACCTTGGAGCCGTCCTCGTCCTCGCGCGCCCATGGGCATGCCGGAGCTTTCTCGCCGGCCTCGGGCGCTGCCAGGCCAGGGCCCATGCATGTGCCTTGCTGAAGGAGCCGAGCTTTCTTACACGAGGTCCCCCAGTGGTGCCCTTTTACCCTTTCTTGGGGGAGGGCTCCACTACTAAAATAGACTGCAGAAAAAAAGGGTGCCCTTGATCTAACCTCTCTACTGGAGGACCCAGCACAGGTTCAGAATTAGGCGGACACCTGCCCCCCCCCTCTCCTACCAGGATGGTGCGGGGCTTGGCTCAGTGTTTAGCGCCATGGCAAGGCTATGTGGGTATTGGTGGGTTGAAGCTTAAGAGTTTGCAAGATGTGAGGGGCATTAATTTAGCGGGGACTCTCACTTTGCCATCCCAGATCATCGAAGTATGCGGAGTGAAGTAAGATGCCGGTGTTCCATGGCGTCCAGGTACCAGGCACTGGCACAGTGGCCTCTCAAGCCTTGAGGTATGGCATGGGGATTGCCCTTTGAACACCCTTTTCAGGAGAATACAAAACCCCTGCTGGACACGTAGCAACCCTTTCTTACGCGGCCCCTCCAATTTGTGTTTGTCTCCAAACGGAACCCCCCTTCCCCCTCCACTTTCAGGCCACCTTCAAGTTCTCCCGTGTCTAGGGGTCCCAATTTCCTAAGGATCCAACGGCTGAGGTTAGGTCCTGCTTCGCCAGCGGTGGCTTGGACCAGTCCGGGCGTTTCGCTGACACTTCGCGGGCCACGGCCTGAGCCACGAGATCAGGGGTGGGGGTGGTGGGATGGAGCCATGCCAAGGGGAGCTCTTGCAATCGAATGGTGACTGTTAGAAGGAACGAATAGCCAGCATTTTTCCATTGGGGGCCACACAAGACTATGAATTTCTCATGGCTGTCCTTGGATCTGAATCAATTTTGGCAGGTCCATTATCTTATGACTCCAAGGTAGAGGGCGATGAAATGGTTTTGACAGGTTGCTTTAAACATTCAGGGTGGCAATAAGCGCCCCGGCGTAAAGCACACATGTGGCTGCGTGAGGCCGCGTAAGTGTGGTGCGCAAGTGCAGAGGCGTGGGTGGTCGCGTCAGCTACCCCTTTGCTCGCGTAAGCTTGTGCCAGCACCTGGGCGCAAGAGTTCCCTACGACCCAGATTTCCACAGGCCGTTTCGAGCTCCGCTCAAATCGTGGTTTGGGGCGTTGAACCTCTGATTCTTGTTCAGGGGAATCCAGAAACCACCCGGAAACACCAAACCACCACTCCAAACCACCAACTGCGTATGTGTCAAACGGGCGACCCCTGCAAGAAACAAAAAGGTGGTTTCCCCTTGGCTGATAGGCTTACTTGCCCTCCCACCAACGGAAGTCCAAGACCATTTCTTGTTAAAGTGACCGGGTCCCGAACGTCAGGTTCCATGTTTGGTGGGACTCCCAACTGTGTATGTGTCAAAACATTTGGGGACCCCCCTCCCCCCCTCCTCTGAAAAAATGGCTCCTTTCGGCTTACCTGAAAACAAAGCCGAACCTCCGCGCTTTCGAGGCCCTCGCGCTGCGGTTCGCCGGCCTCGGCGTTGGGTGCCGGCCTTCCAGACCCGCCGCCGCTGCTGAAGAGCACGGCGTGACTGGAGGCGGAACGTGGGGTCGGGTCCATACATTGTTGTTGTTTGATATGCAACCCATACATGTTTTTTTCTTTTTGTTTGATGTTGTTTTGTATAAATACTCCCCAATGCATGTTTCCTTTTTGAAAGTGAGTTTCAACCATCACCGTTTTGGCCCATTTGAATTGAGTTTCTCTTGGTAGATGTGTTGAGGGGGCAAATACCATGGAACCCTTAGATGGAGCCGGGTACCCAGATGAACAGGAAACACCAAACGCCCTCAGGTTCAGTGGGCCCCTTTTTGGGTTCTGTGTGTCAATGGAAAACCAACAAGTGCGGCCCGCTCCTTGGAGTGAAAAGCATGTTTGGAGTACCCATGAGTAACCTTTCGGTCAAGATTGCTTTCAGGGTTTTGCCAGGTATGGCCCCCGCACAAATGACCATTCCCGGGATTTTTGGTGGGTTTGACCGTGGCCAAGGGTGTGTCCAATATGTTCAAAGACCCCGTGAGAGGTCAGTGGCCGGCAGGCATTTCATTCCAAAGTCTGAAGGACCCAACCACGAAGGCAGCCGATGCCATGTGCCATGAGATACCGAGGCCCAATTACATGGGCACATAAAACATCCACACGGCCAGAATTACCACTGCGATATATCGTGAAGGCCCGAACACCGTACATGACGGGTGCACCAGGAATCTATCACCAGAATGACCTTGTATCAAGATACCTACTCAATGCGCAGCTGGAGTGACGGGAGATGTGAAGGAATCCACTCGGGGATGGAGATTTTACCTTTACCGGAAGCTTCATCTATTCAGTTACTTCCCGAAATGGTTGGCTGCTCACGTGTCCTTCTTCTTCGGGAAATCACTGAGTGGTGGACAAGTGGACAAGGCTTCTTGGGCCATCTTTTTCAGGAGGTTGCAATCACACAGCATGACGAAGCAAGAACGGTCTTGTGCATATGGAATTCGCTGCGCAACAAAGTGTTTAACCTTGCAGCCGCTGTGTTTCAAGACCCGAGTCAACCGATGCTCTTTGTTTTTTTCGTGGGTCAGGAATAAACATAGGGGGGGCACCTCTTTTGCGAGCTTCACCGCACAAAGTGGAGCCACATGGAAGATGTTTCCACAGTTCCAGAACTGCAGTTTCAATGACCACATTAGAACGACACCCGAGGCGCGGACCAGCCCAGGACATGTGTCAAGCTCATGCCAATGTCTGAATGCGGGTTTTGATTTGGGAACTGGGTTGAACTTGCACCAGGAACTGCTGAACATTTCGAGCAACAAAGGGGCAAACAAATACATGCAAAACACAATTCTCCGGGCAACTGGGCAACCAGGGGATCTTTCGCAGTAGCTTGGACAGTTCGCAGATGCTAAGTAGGGAGCATATGCGGTTTCCCTTTTGTGATAAATGAGCAACTGCACTCATTGGACATGTCAATCCAGACTGTGTGCCACCTCATTCTTCAAACAGCATCCCCGGAAGGATCCACCCTTTCGGACATCCTGAAATAAGTTGCCTTGTGAACCAGTTGCCACTTGGACAGGTAAACATACCAAAAAATGTTTACGGTACCAAACACACGCACGTATATATATATATATGTATAGTACTGTATATTGGTATAGTATTGTTAAGAGTTGAACGCAGTACGAACTGCTCGTTGGAACCTCCCATCTTTGCCCGGGTGTGCTTACCATTTGGCTGGCATGAATACAGTGCTGAGCGGGATGGATACAGTGCTGAGAGGGTGCTCTTGAGCTGGTGTGCCTACTATTCCCATTCAGGGATACAGTGCTGAGCGGGTGCACTTGAGCGGGTGTGCTTACCATTTGGCTGGCATGAGTACAGTGCTGAGCGGGCGCTCTTGAGCGGGTGTGCTTACCATTTGCTTGGGGAACGAACGCAAACATCCCCCCCCACCCCACCCCACCCGGAAAGACGCAGGGCTGACCTGGAACAGCAGCCTGTTTGCCTTGGGAAACGAACGCCCCCCACCCCCCACTCCTCCCCGGAAAGCGTATGGTGGAGCCCCAAACAACTCTTAACGATACTATACCAATATATATATATATACATATGCAGATTCAGATGCTCTTTTTGTTTACAATCGCCGCGCTCCCTTTTTGTTGTGAAGTGGCAACTGGAAGCACTGGCTTAGACATGCTGCTTCGCGCGCCGAGCGCTTTTGCTTCACAGGCCTCCTTGCTCGCCTCAGCCTCCACAAGCACAGGGAGCGGGAGCCCAGAGTCTGGGGACGATGCCCCCAGGCATGGTACCCCTTCATTGGCTTAAAGGGAAACCAGTCGAAGATCTCCACTTTTGGGGTCCTTCTATTTTGGCACATAGCCGTAGACTGGGGGCTGCCAATTTGCACATGGGGCAGATTGGGAGTGTATACTGGTATATGGGACAGGTACCCAAGAATGCGAAGTCATTTCCCTTGAAAAGTCCCCAAGACAAGTTACAGCGACTTCGCATCCCAACAAGGTGCCTTTCAGAGGGGCTGATGTCAGGTGCCTTGCCATGAGTCACCACGAGAACGCCCCGCCCCGTCGCGCCGTCACTTCGAGGCCGCCGCTTTCGGCGCAGAGCCTCGCGTGGCTGGGCTCCTCGCTGCCGGCGCTCAGTGGCGCGCTGCTCGGGCGGCGGCCTTGGCGGAGGGCAGCTGGGCAGGGGACCGCAGGTTTTAGCCCTTGGTTTCATTTACTAGGCTTCCAAAATAGATACCCATTTTTGAGCCACTGCCCCATCGGAAACCCGCCCCCCGACACCCCACCCCATGGTGCCCTTTTTTCCCCTTGACTTAGGAGGGGTTTCTCTTCAAACCGACTACCAAAACAAGGTTGCCCTCTTTTTGTCCGTAGCCACTGTTCCAACATATTGAGACCTTATGCCAAAGAATAGTTTGGTATTGACTTGATTGGATCAGAACAACGACAAATGTTCAAGTGGGCCAATGAAAGCTGACCGTTTGTAGTGGTATATAGCCCGAGGTTTAGGACACTATATTTCTGAATAGGGGGGGGAGGCACCTTACGTTTGTTTGCACGTCCGTTAACCCGGTGAATCCAGTCACCCACAAGAAATAAGATCAACGCATCCAAATGCGTAGAAGCAATCCTGGTTGCTTGCAGCTGGATCCCCTAGGCCAAAGATAGCTAACATTAGCTAATCATTTCTTGGTGGCTCCCAGCCATCCCCTTAGCTTTCTAGCCTTTTAGTGTTTGGTAGTTTCCATTTGACCCACTAAAAGTCAACTTTTAGCGGGGGATGTGAGGGCAGCCCAGATTTGTTTGGACTTGTGCGGAACCGATCGGGCGCAAAACAACCTTATCCGCGATGAAGGTGAATTGGGATTCCACAGCAGAATTCAGTGCAGATTTGCAGTGGTCCCCTAACTTAGGCTGGTGGGCTGAGCTGCTTCTTGCTACCCATCGGTTTGGCTAGTTACTAGTTGGTCAGGAGGGTTCAAGTGAGTTTCTTTCATACCATGTTCATTTCTGACTCAGCTGGTCAGCGGAACGATGTTTTCCTTTTCTCAGCGTGGTGTCCTTTAAGAAGACCAGAGCAGATGTTTGTTCATTCGCCTGACCATTGAGGATATCAGTTTCCCTACATGTCACTGCTGGCACGCTGAGCCTTTAACCTTTTGTTACTGTGCTTGAGCATGAAGTTGGAGGCCAACGAAGGCGTACGCCCTCAAGCTGGGGGTGGCAAGAGGGTCAAAAGGCAAGCCCTTGATGTTCGGAACGCCCCTTGTTTGGGATGTTTTTGAAGCCGAAGATTGTTGTTCATTTTCCGAGCCTCCTAGGCCCGTTGCGTTGGGAGGCCGTGTCGCGGCGTTGTTTCTTGGACCACCGCGGCTCACCTACGAGGCTTCAGCCTGAAGAGGGGGCCAGAGGTGCCAATCCACACCATGGGCGTTCCCCTAATATTTGGCACCGCCACGCAGCGCCGGTTTTGCACCGTGTTGGCTCAAGTCATCCAAAGCCCTGAGGATCCCTTGCCCCTATTTCCAAGTTTCTGGACTTCGACTTTCTGGGAAGACCAATTTAGTGGCAAACATCAGCCCAGGCTTTGTTTGGTCAATCCACTCAGGCAGTGAGGCTGATAACTGGATCCCACAAGAGGTTTTTGGCAGGGCCCTTGACCAAGCATGTGCAAATCACCCTTTTTCAAACAACCTCCCCTTGGCTTCCAAGTTTGGCGAGCTTCCCCCTTGGGTGATGCTGAAGGGGGAAGCATGGCTATGAATTTTCATATTGAACCACCTGAATAGTGGTTGGTTGACATAATCGCACCCTGCATGTCCACAAAAGGATATTAATTTAATTGAAAATTATGGCCAAGGCAGCCCAACGTTTCCGGCCAAAGTCGTCCAGGCCTTTGCCGCTTCTTCGCAGCTCTCTCCACCTGGGCTTTGCTCTTTCTGCCTCCGACGCGGTTTGCCTGGCTGCATCGTTGCCACTGCCTGGGGCCCGGAGCTGCTTTGCGGGGTAGTTTTTTGGATTCGTGCTTGTGAATTAGGCTTGTGCAAAAGATGCTTAAAGCAAAGAAGCCCTTGCTTTGGGAGTGGGGGCACGCATACTGAGATCGTGTTTGAGGTGATTTGTGTAGTTTGCAGCTTCACTACAGTCACCAAAGATGGGCCGCAATCAAGCACTAGTTTGGGGGCCAACTCTCAGGCGGGGACCAGCACGGTTGGGCTCCTCCTGCCTCGTGCTCGGCTTGCTGCGCTCGGAAGCCCAAAGTGTCGGCGTACCCGTCGGAAGGAATAGAGGATTGTGTTGATCTTCATAGAGCTCCTTGGGATTCGAGGGTTCAGGTTGCTGAAGGGTACCGTGGGATTTCCAATCCTTATTGCTTGGCATGTGGCTCCCTGCTTGGGTTCCAGAGCTCGTGGCCCATTGCCCACGTTTCGGGGCTTTCCAGTGTGAACCATATGACTGCCATTTGATTGTATCTCTTTGGGGGACCCGTGTGTTTGCCCAGAAACCAGGACCAGTGGATTTTCATTCACCCAGCAAGCACTGAATCGAAGAAAACAGTCATAGCAATTCAACAGTCTGAGCCTGATTTCAGGTTCGCTCGGGCGCACGTGAGATACAAGTGCGCTGGTGCTAATTAGGAAGCACCTGAAACTCCACACAAGAACAGCTTAGCACTGAGTTCTAAGATGGGTCAACTGTTTGCAGGGAGCAAAAGGGCATGCTTTTCTTACGATCTTGAGCGTGCGCCCTTATGATAACACCCCAGGAGACACGCAGCCGCTGAGTTGGCAGTGGATAAGCTGCTCGTTGGTTTGCTGTTTGTTACACGCAGGATTCTTCTCCATGTAAGTGAAGGCCCAAGCGTGTCTTGTCAATGCGTCCTTGCATTTACCTGACCAGTCAGCTCAACAGGGTAAAGCAAGTTGCACCGGCAAACAGATGTTGGGCTATCCGTAACGGCCACACTATCCCACTATCCACAAACCTCAAGCAAGGCCACAATCGAATTGAAGCTACATTATCCTTAAAGGGAACCGGTTTGATGTCATACCCGAGAGGCAATCAGCTTGATGGCAGCCAGTCATCGTGTTGGGAATATTGCTGCCAGCTGCCCCACTGGAAATTCCAACCCAACAAGTGTGTCTCGTAGCTTTATTCTCACGGCCACCATGGCCACATTGTCACATTCTTATTCTAATCTCCCCTTCAACTACTGGATTTGCAACAAGTAGCTAGAGCAAAGCGTGTCTAACCAACAAGTTTACCGCCGACCACCGACTGTAGTCGTACTGGGAGCCTTTCCAACACACCTCGAATTTAAACTGTAAACTCTGGTACCTACCATGGTTGCCTACCACAATCAACTCTGATTGCCTATTAAGTGTAAACTTGAATCAAGTCGCGTTGCCTATGTCTCCGTTTGCGTCGCCGACTCGACGATGCCCGGATTCGGATTTTTGGGCTCCCAGCCCAGCGATGGCTCGGGCGCGTGTGCGACCGCGCATGGCCATGGCGATGCCGCTGAGTGCCGGCCCGGGCGCCTAGCTCCCCCGTGGTGCCCCTTTACCCGTTTTTGGGGGAGGGTTCCCCTACTAAAATAGACTACGGAAAAAAGGGTACCCTTATTAGCCGTCCGGGTTCAAGCACCCCTCGGCTCAGGGAGCCGAACCCCCCGGGCAGGGCTGGGGCTCCACTGCCCGGTCCTGCGTCCAAAAAGCCATGGCTGGCAGCTCTGTCTTCAACCTGCTCCTCGTGCACCCCCTGGTCACCCTCTTCATTCGCCGTGTTTGTGATGTGTCGTCTTCGGGGAGCTTATCCGCTTGGTGACGCATTCGTTGCCGGTCCGCTTCACCCGGGAGGCATCCTGGCCTTTGGGTCAGTCCCAGCCTCGAGACACCCCCTTTCTTATGGGGTGAAGGTATTGCTGGCCCTCTTCGTTGTGCGCCTTCGGCCCCTTTGATGCCTCGTTCTCTTCACGCTCTGCATCAGCTTCCCTGGGCGGGTCTATCTGTGTGTGGGTTGTGCCCTTTTGACACCTTGGGCTTTTTCGGCAGTCGTGATGCGGGCTGCCTTGCCCATCGTGCCCTTGGGTCTTTATAGCTTTCAGAAGTCCGCAGCATAGTGAATACATCCCTCCTGCTGTGAGTGGCTGCTACCTCATGGTGCTTTTCATATCCCTGTGGCGTGTGCCAGTGGCCCCGGAGGTCCCGACTTTCTTGGCTTACTTGTCCCTACGCTTGTGCAGCAGTTTTGTGACTTCCCCCTTTTTGGGGGGGTGGGCTGCTTCGGCCTTGCGGCCTTGTGGGGAAAGCCTGGGTTCCTGTGCGGGGGGCTGGTCCTCTCTCACAGGGCCCACGGTGCTGCGTGGCTGTTGGGCCTGTTTTGTCTTACCGGCCAGGGGAAAGGGGGTCCCCTCTCTTTCCGTTGGCTGCGTTGCCCTTTGCCAGGTGTTTCACCCCTCCGGTCGAGCCGCTCCCGGAGGGCTGTGTACGGGGCTTCTGCCCCACGTTTCGCAGGTAGTAGGGCGGCATGCCCTGCCACCAGCGCACGCTCATCACTCGTGCGTCACGTGCCAAAAGGGTACCCTTATTCTAACCTCGCTACTGGAGGACATGGTCAGGGAATGAGAATTGGTCATTGACCCCGATCTAAACCATCCAACTGGTGGTTTCCTTGGGAATCGCCAGGTTCATTCCCATATTCGCTGCTGATCAACGGTTGCCAAAACCTTCCGAGACTTCCCCACAGGGCGCTGTGTTGTTTCACTGATTGACGTGGCGAATTTCCGCGTCAATCATGATGGATGGGTGCTAACCAGAAGCTAGACATGTGGTTGTGGAATGAAGTGATTGCTTTGGTTTTGCGAAGCCCTGACCAATTGGAGAATACGCGGTTCTGCGAGGGCCAAAGTGCAGGGCGTGCAGGGCGTTTGAAGGGAGCTTTCAAGAGGCTCGACTATTTGACCCATGTGTAATCCACTGTTTGTCGTTCTTTGGTGACCCTCCAAAGTTGTTTTGAGAGAAGTGGGGGCAATTTACCACTCACCGCCCCGCACTGAACACTTGGCAGAACACAACGCTCACGAATTTGCATTGCTCTGCGGGTCGCGCATGTGCGGAAGCCCGCAACAAGAAGGTCAACCAGGACCCCCTTTTAGGTCTCCCGAATGTTTGTTTCTCAGCTTCCATTTTAGGCTGTGGGAGTGTAGTCTAGCTACCAAGGATAAGGTACCTACAAGTTCCCTCGATGTGACACGGGTCCCGATTAAATGTGCACCTTTGGTGGATTGAACAGCACCTTCGGGCAACCCAACGTGAGTTTCCTTTTGGGGATCTAGCGGAAAATGTTGCGAAGCCTGTGTGACACAGTCTCAAGAGTCTGACGTAACTTGCCGCGTTGGACCGACCAGCGCTGCAGGCTTGGCTTTCCAAGTGCAAGGCTGGGCTCAGCGGTTTGCTTGCCCATGGACGGGAAGGCCCTTTTGAGTCCACGCTTTTGGGAACTTACCCGCGTTTTGGGAACTTACCTTGCTGCTGTTTCCTTAGATAACGCTGATGTCAGTGTTTGTGTTTGTGGGATTGTATTGATAAGTGAAAGTCCTGGTCTCTGAGGATTGTGGAAGGGCTGGTAGGTTGTTTGGTCATGTGGTTTGGGGGTCCCAAAAGCCAAACAGGAACATGATCAACCCCTAGAAGTCCGAGTAACCACCCTTTTTAGCATGGTTGTGAACGGGTATGAACGTACGTTGATACCTCAGGAGGTACTTGGAGCCTCAGGGTACGTTGATACCTCAGCGTCTTTTGGACCGTCACCCCACCTGAATTGATATGTCTCTCCGGTCCTCCCGTGTTCCGCCAGGCTGGGCTGCACCGAACCTGCGAGAGGCGCACGAGCAACGCGGGTATCAGGTTTTGGATGGGCCCATGGTAGATCGGATTTGGCCTATGCTCCTATGGCTTTCGCAGGTATCGGTACAGGTCTCACAGAGTGGCGAACTTATCACGTACCCATGGGAAGCCACCAAGCCCAGCCAACTGAACCTTGGCTGCGCAGGCGGGCATTGCGCAGCCGGTGCCCTGACTTTCAGACTGGCTGGCTGCTTTGGGAGGGGCGCAAGGGGCAAGGGGCAGGGTGCCGAAAGAGGTCCGTTTCAAATGGTCATCAAGTTTGAATGCGACAGCCTCAAACATGGTGGGTGGAAATAGGTGCCCATGCAAATGCTGTCCATCGAACAGTCACCAATTCAAATTCGCACCCACATGCTGGCTTCACACGATGTTCCGTGTGCTTGCACCCAAGCAGGGATTGCCAAAATGGCAAACTCTCATATGGTTGAGTCTGATCATTCTGCTTGAAAAAATATGTCTATTAGAGGCAGGGACAAGTCCTGCAAGATGGATGGGGAGCTTCCACTACCCTGATTTGATCCGTAGTTGAGTTGAATGCTTGTTTGAACAAGTGGCAAGGGTGCGCCCTCGAAAGATACACAATGCCATTTGGAAAAATGATGTTCAGGTGGATCTAAGGACTGCTTGCAGAAGCCCGGTTGTCTTACCGGTCTGGGAGAAATCGCTTAGTGGTTGGTCATCGAATCTGGCTGCCCCAGAGTAGCCAATTTGGGACAGCCACCATTTTCAAAACCTGGAGGAAAATATCCTGGTACCTACTCTATAGGGGGAACTCCATCCGCTGGGTATGGTTTGGGGGGGGTATAATTTTGTAGCGCATTGATAGGTGCTTCAATGTACGTGATGGCGCCCTATGGAATGGGCTGGCTTTCGACACATTCCCGAAACGGGTTTGTTACAAACAGGGGGTTTGGTCAAGGAGCACGCCTTCTTTTAAGGGGGCTGGGACTTGAACATTGTGGCCATTTTGTCAAAACCCCCCCCCTTCGGAGGGTTAGTTCCGTTGCCGCCTTCGTCGTTTCTCTTTCGAGTTTCCAAAAGGTTCCTCTTGAGGCTTTTCTTTCTGGTGTCCCTTTAGGATTTCCTCTCAGTTCTTCTTTCATTGATGTTGCCTGGGACTCTCAGAACTGGACTCACTTGCTCCAGGCTGCATGCCCGAAACCTCGTTCCCAAAGCCGTGCCTCAGCCCAAGCCGTGGCCCCAGCAGTCTTTGGGCTCTGTGGGCGGCTGGCCAGGCCAAACCCGGGTATGAGGATTAGTAAGGGCCAGCCCGAACCACTCGCTTTTTTAGTTTCTCGAGATCTTCTCGACTTTATACATAGTCTTTGGGAGGACAATGTTAGCGGCACAAAGCAATTCAGGACTGCTGTTGGCCAATCCATTCAGGAACCAAGAGAATGAATAGGTGTGACCGCTCTTTAGTTTTTTTAGTGGTACTACAAGGTGTGGATTATGACTCAGGTACGTTCAGGTCCCCTGCTTCATGGCATCTTGGGACTTGTTCATTTCCGCCCCCTCTCCCCCCCCTCAACTCGAGGTGAGGTGCCATTTGACTCCTTGGGTTCCACTTCTTGACTCCTTGGGTTCCTGACAGAATCCCAACCCGGTGTGTAAGTGATTTGGATTTGTGCTGTAAGACTGTACGGACGCACCTTTTCAAGCAAACAGCAATGCATTTTGGGGGAGACTTTATTGGCAGAGCTTGGGTTCCCGGTTTACGAATTGGCGTTGAGATTATAACCTCCGCCCCCCCGCCCAGTTTTGTTTCGTTCGGGGGGCATCAGTAGAGAAAAGCCGGCAACATACTAGGGTAAGAGTCGGGCCTGCCCAATTCGTCTTCCTGTACCGTCTAGCATTGTCTGGAAACGTGTGGTATTGTTTTGGTAAGCATCGTGCTAAACCCGTGCCGTCTAAGAGTCTAAAACCGGTTGTGTAGCCGCTCAGTATTGCTTTGTCTTGAATTGCTTTGGAAGTTAGGCTTGCTGGGCCTTCAGCCTCACTAGCAACAATTTGGATGATTGAGTCACCAAAAGACAACTATTGCTATCTTGTTCCTTTGCAGGTCAGGGAACATGTTTTTGGAAAGCTTCTCTGTAGTCCCTCCCTATTCATAGCTATCCGACAGAATGTGTATACAGGGTCCGGTTGGCCGAGGTGGCTGAAGGAGCCGGCAGCTCTACACAAATAAATCACAGGGTGCTCACCCTTGCTACTTTGCACAACAGATGCTTGTGCCCTGAACTACAGCGAGTACCTATCAGCTGGCACTTGGACCTCCAATTGTGTCCTGAACAGTCTCCAAACACTTTGCAGGATATTTTATTGTGCACTCAACGCCCAACATGGTTGCCATGATCCGGTGGGAGATAGCCACCAGGCAGAGTAGCCAGCTTCTGGTGCCATCAAACAGCACCAGGTCTACCACGCAGCTTAAGAGCTGCTTTGTATTCAACATGCATGAGCTCTTGCACAATGACAAGACGCTAGGTGAATCCGAGAACCATGCAAGGATGGGCTTGGGTTGGCTTCTATGAAACAGGTAACAGCAACTCCATAAGACCAGCATAATATCCCTTGTTCCTGATGAGTGTTCATCCACCAAGTGCATCATTCCCCTTATGTTGAGTCATGTAACCAGTCCAGCAAGGAATCATCTCCCTATTTGAAGATATACAGTGGAAAATGCAAGTATGGGAAGCACTGTTTTCCTTGCATGTTACCATGTTCATCATTTCCAACCCGTCGCGGAACCACACACACACACACCTTTCGTTCGGTATAAACCATGCCCCATGTATAGTAATATTCTTCGCAACACGTGAATATCACATGTGACCGAAAACTGTGAGATTCTCAAACTAGGTCCCCCAGTAGTGCCCTTTTACCCTTTCTTGGGGGAGGGTTCCCCTACTAAAATAAACTACAAAAAAAGGGTACCCTTATTCTACTGCAGGACCTAGTAAAGGTACATTTGGCTACATTTGACCTAAGCGTACAACACAAGGAACTGCAGAGAACGAGGCGGTGTCTTCGACCCCATCCTGGCGGCGCCGCTTCGTGAGGTGGGAACAGGGCTGCAATCCCATTAAGTGGAGGTTGCCCTCATTTATAGTGAAGACAGGTTTCCTTTTGGAAAGGGGGCCTAAGCTGCCACATTTGTTGGTGGGGTTGTGCAGGGGACTGTGCCAGCCGTGAAGGCGTGCCCTTTCTGATTCTTTGCAAGGTGAAGATCAGGGCCGTGTTTCTGTTTGCTTGGTCTCAGTAGGGCCCCAAAATGGGTCCGAATGTGCCTTTAGCTTCCCTGTATAGCAAACCTCAAACAGTAGGGAATGTCGACCATTCTTGATTTGTGAGATCCGTTTGTGGTCGGAAGGAGGTTCTATTTCATGATGGGTGTGTCTCAAATTTGCGAATCCCTCCAGCTGATAGGATTCCCCTGCATTTCTTGTGAAACCATCCAATTGGGCAACCATGTATACGGAGCAATTCCCCAGAAGTTATCCTTTGGTCTGTTGATGGTAGTTTCCAGTTTGCTTCTGCAAAAGTGGAAGCTGCATTGCGCAGGCCAAGGGCCTTTGCACCCAGCAACACGGCGCCAGGAGGAGCCAGGGGAGAGTCGACTCCGCAGCAGGCGTTTGTGCCCCTTTTTTTCCCCCGACTTTTTGGATGTTTTTTTTCATTGAACATCGGCAAATGAACAAGAGGTCGCCTACTTTGACGGCACCTTCTTTGCGCCTCCCCCCCCCCCCCGGTGTTTTACAGTCGACCCAGAATCAATAAACCTTGCACATGGATAGGGGGCGTTTCTCTCCCAAAAGTGATGGAGCCTCTCCTAAATGACACTCTCAAGTAATAATCAGGTATTGGTCCTGGGTTCTCATCAAAGGGAAACCAAAGGGATTTCCCAATTTTGAGACAAACTTCACAAATTCGGTGATGTCTTGTTGATTTATCCTTAAAGCAACACCGAGAAGGGTGCCTAATTGGGGGACCCCCAAATTGGTTTTGCTGTTGGCCTTCCTTGAAACCAACCTGAACATGCTGCCCTCTACAAAAACACATCCATTTGGGTGCGTCTGTGTTTGAGTTGGTACCCCATCTCGTGTTTCAACAGGAAACCGACTGGAAATCACCCAATTTGTGCACAGGGGCTTCTATCAAGCGAGCCATGACCATGACCCGCATTGTGGGCACGTTTGGGTCCGTCCTTAAATTGCGGAGCTGGCATAGTGTGTCCAAGTTGCCAGGGTTTTACGTTTGCATGCTTGCAACTTGTGGAAGTGGTACAAGCTGCGCTCAGCCAGGATCCAACAGCGGCGCCAAGAACGCAGCCCTTGTGTTGCAGGAGATGGGATCAGCCCGTTTCGGTTTTCTTGCGTAGTGGGAACCGGGTGGATTCATAAACTTCCCAGTTGATGGATGGAGAGGTGCATTGCAGCCGCTCGCAACCCAACTCTGCAACCGGGGTTGGGGTTGCAACTCAGTTGCAAAATCGACGACTTCCAGCGGGCACATGTTTGCACGTTTGCACAAACAGCCATTTGTTGCACAAACTGCACGTGTTTCCTCGAACAGTGAGTTTTGCGAGAACAACACGCTTGTGCACGAAGTCTATTTTTGCACAAACATGCGTTGTCAACAAATAGTATTTGTGGAGCCGATAGAGAAAGAGATGGAAGAGAGGGAAAGAAGGGAGAGAGAGGGAAAGAGAGAAAGAGGAAGAGAAAAAGGGAGAGAGAGAGAGAGAGAGAGAGAGCGAGAGAGACACAGAGAGAGAGAGAGAGAGAAGAGAGAGATGATAGCTTGGTGGAAGTTTCTTTGTTGGCGCACCGTTTGGATGTTCAATCAACATGCTTTTGTTACAGCAAGTACGACCTCAGAACCAGCCCACTTAGAAGGGCGGTCGGGTTGGTTAGTCCTACTTAGGTGGTCTGGCAGGTTAGCTGAGTGTTTGTGAACCGCCGGCTTTCCCGCTGAGGCTTTGATGTCCCAGTGAACCTGTTATGATCAGGGTACCAATCTAGGGAGGCCTATCCTGAGCTTAAGGCTACATCCTATCCAACCCATGTGAGTTTGTAAGGCCAGTTCTGCCAGGAGCAGTGGCGGCGGGTTCAACCCAAAGCAGAACCAGATGAGTTTCGTGTCACCATACGTGCCCAGCTCAGCTCGCAGCTCCAGCTGCAACCAATCTTACGAAGCTTCTGAACAGTTTTTGGCAGTGCAAGTAAGCAGCTGCACCTTGCGAGTCCGTACCAGAAGAGCAAAGCACATGCAAGTACGCGATGCCAGCCAATACCCTTCACGAACTAAACCACAATCAAAATCGGGAATGTTGAAGGTTAGTGGGCAGCTGTCCCAGACATAAATCCGTGCGCCCGCCCTTTTAGTGTTTTGCATAGTTTTGGGAAGACCACTTTCGTATCCAACCCGCAATAGGATCACGTGCACCCTTGTGTTTTTGGGCGCGGCGACCCAATGCAACAAACAAAGAAGGGGGCCCTTTTTCCTATGGGCAATGGCAAAGCCAAGCGCCAGGCTCGTGGGATTTGCCTTCTGCGCATGGTCAACTCCTGTGCATGCAAGTGATTCCAAGTGATTGTGGCTTCAAATCATGGAGCCACGCCATGCAGCCACCCCTCCGAAAAGCAACAATACGATCCGAAAAAGGGATTACAACAAAGTGCTGAAAGATGTGATTGCTTGAGTTTTTCCACTCAGATAGCTACCGTCCCCCTCAAGAAAAGAAAACACGCCCCTTCGACTATATGGGCTTTGACTCTTCGGGAGGGTAAACATGTGAGGTGTCTTTTGTTGAGGCGCAATGTGGGGACACCCAAACTGCGTTGCTCATGTCATGTTTGCTACGCTCTTGGAGGCATGGGATTCGGTGCGTCGGATCAGATTCGATCGAGGCGTGATACCCTTGTTGCTTGCGCAAGGGCCGGGACCCCAGCGGCAATCCATGGCCCTTGGTGAATCGAGGGTCTGGACCCCCATCCCCGAGGCTTCTCCAGGGGACCATGCCTTCTCAGTTCTTGGAACCGCTCTAAAGGGCGCTACACCCAGACATAAATTTACTTGATGATTGCTTTCCCAGCTGTCCCCCCCTCACACGAAGGTTCAACGCACTGAGACCTCTTTCTCTTTAGGCGCTGTTTCACAAGCAATCTGGGCCCCTGGGACTGGAAATGGAACCCTGTTGTGTTCCCTGTGGTCAAAAACCAGCTAGGATCCCCAAGAAATAACAGGGGATCCGATCAGGGCGGCGCAGAACCGGCTGGGGGGAACCGCCCGAAAAAAAGAAAACAAAAAAAAAACTGAGAAGGCACGATACCCCGGGGAAAAGCCGATGTGCGTTTTTACTGTAAGGTACCTCATTTTTGGCCATAGGCTTTTCCCAAGTGGACAGTGCCTTCTCAACTTTTTATTTTTTTTGAAAAATAAAAATAAAAATGAGCGAGCACGCAGAGGTTGGGGGAGCACGCAAACCCGGAGAAGGCCCGCAAAACCGGAGAAGGCCCGCAAAACCGGAGAAGGCCCGCAAAATCCGGAGAAGGCCAGGAAAAAATATGAGTCTGTTTTGTTTGGCGATGTGTGACGTGCAAATCCGCATCCATGGCTGCTGGTGATGCCTGTGCTGCTGCTGATGCTGGTTATGCCTTTGATGCTGGTGATGCCTCTGAACTGGTAATGCCTAAAAGTATCAGGCCAGAGCCAAGGCTGACAAACCAACATGCCAGCCCTTGAGAAGGCACGCTTATCTGGGGGAACCCGCAAAATCCAGAGGACGCGTGTCCAGACTTCCGAGTGAAAGGGTTGGATTTGGTGGGACACATGATACTCCTCTATAGCCATCAACTTGGACCGTGGCACCGACGAAGAGGTAGCTTCTGTGCAAGGGCATTTCTCGGGGTGTCCATCCTCTGTCAGTGGGGAAAGTCGGGCCCCAGGTCAACCAGGGCATTGCTTGTTTAGTTTCGAGATGGTTTCTCTCGGTCACTTCCGTGACCTCAAGCAACTAAACGCCAGAATCGAAACCCGGAAATCGGAGGTTAAATGGGGCCAAGGAAGCCGTGCCTGTGATCC